TCACATCCACTTAGCCTGAAATTGCCCTGTCCTCCGCGCCTATCAGGCGCCAGTTGATGGGGCATTTGGCGCCGGCCCCCGTTAAGCGCTGGACGCGCACAGCGGTTTCAAGCAAAGGGAAGCGATATTTGTAAATTGGAGGTCAAACCACCCCTACGCTACAAGTTTTCAGCGAGAAATTTTCGTAGACCTAGGGAGTTACTTTGGCGCCGGCGCCTGTGGCGCGGGCGCCAGGCGGTTTCGAGAGGAGCGGATGTGATATTCGTGTTCAGAAGGTCTAATTACCCCTAGAACCCAACTTCAGCCAAATCCACCACCCCGTAGAAAAAATTTTCGGATCTAAATCCGCGCCGATTTCCGCAAAATCGTGCGTCGTAGTAATAGGTTGAAATAGTGCCAAAATATGCTTACGAAGAGCCATTTCAGGAGCTTATTAGCCACCGCCCAACTAGTTCAACTTCAAGTGCATACGACCGTCAACGACCTACCGAATCTCAGGGAATTTCAACTGTAGTACCGATGAGAATCCCCATTCTAGACTAACATAATAATATTCTAATCTAATAATAACATCACGTTCGACGCCATTGGGGACTTCGGAAATCGCATGCGAGTTTCTGTGCTTCCAAATACATATGACACCTTCGCTATGTGACCTCCCTAAAGTTGAAAATAGTATTGAAAGCAGAGTTCTGTTAGAAGCCCCCTTTGTCGACGAGATATTTTTAGTGAAAGAGAATTTACGCGAGACTTCTTTTGAGCCGATCCGAAAAATTTGCAGCTTTCCCTGCTTACCCAGCGTAAGACATGGTATTTCCTCGAACTCTTATTCTTTTCGTGAAACGTCCTCCCGAATAATAAAATACCACTACCAAAGAATTATCCTCGCGAAAGATATCTTTGGTATCGTTGCGATAAGACGTTCAGTTGCAGAGCCACTTACTTATTCTAATGACAAGTCACCCACTCCTTTCGCCACGAAAAAAAGCAGTTTGTTGTTGGACGTATTGTTGCTAGCCTCCGATTGCCGCATGCGTCTTCCATGTTGAGTAATCATATTTCCTCACGGTAGATTCTCAACGAAGCGGAGCTGTGTTGCAATCTCTGGTCGATTGACTTGAGCGAGATTTCTGGCGCTAACGGGTGCCTGCGACTGAACCTGCGCTTACGCAACCTGTACACGTCGTTCAGGCCCCGTCGGATGGGTGGTTCCATGGGTACGGGTGCCGCTTTGTACATAATGCCTAGGAAGTGCGCAGCGTTTTTCATTCTCAGTGCACACATATGCTAATTGAGCTCGGCTTCCGTCCTGCCTACCCTTTGATTCCGAAGCAAGCAAGCATGCATGAGTGGTCTCGAAACCAGCAAATCAATGCGAGAGCCTAACTCTTGGCAGTCGGAAGGTGTTATCACAAGCAAGGCATTAGGATTGGTAAATGAAAAGCAGTTTGATCCAATGCAACTGAGCGGTCGTTACCCCTGTCGTCTCCGCTATTACAACCATACAGGGGGGGGCAAAAAAAGTCACTTCGACCGAGTCACATATCAGCAAAGTTTTTGCAGCCCAGAGAGAAGATGTGGATACGAGTACCAGGGCGGAAGATACCCAAGATGTTCCTCTATAAGCAGGAAACAGAGCTATCGCCCATTCATCTTCATGTACAGCCAAACTACTTATGAATTCAATCTCAGTTTGCAGCCCCTGACAAAGAAGAGCCGTTGGAATTCATGTCACCTCCAAGGTGCGAACTTCTCTAGTGTGGAGTCACCATGGGTAGCTACCTGGAGACCAGTACTCTCAATCTGGAAGACCTCCAACATCGAGCAGCTCCGACAACGTCGCCACGGTCTAGGACATCATCTTCACCACAGTCAGACGGTCGTATGAGGACCAGAGCGTACCTGGAATGAACAAGACAATATTCTCTTTCGTGGACCGGACTGAAGGTGAGCGCTGGCGGTTACATCGAGCAACTCGAAGAAGAATATCCTCCCACATGTCGCCGCCCCTACCTTCTTGGAAACTTTGTACTGCTACAGCATTGGGTGCCACCACGTGGAATCGGAGAAACTCTCGCCTACTTGGAATGGAAGGGGCTGAGTACCTAAAGAAGATGGAATATCCAAGTAGGTCACCTGACCTGAATCCCCTCAAGTTACCCGGTTCGGGCGGAGTTCAATAAGGTTGGTCTACGGTGGCGGAGATTCGCGACATCTCGCTGCATCTCAGCAACACATCGCGGTTCAGTTGCGTGCCAGAATCTCTCGATGGCGCTCGTCCAGAAGGCTATGGCGGAGTTATATAATAGTATTTAATATGCTCTTTAATATGGTGGTAGAAATGTCCGATTAGAATTTATAAAGTGTAACTTATAGCGCCACGAAAGTCAATGAAGAAAAGTGACTTTTTCCCCCCTGTATATTCAGAAGCTGGCAAAACAAACATCAATTTAACTTTTCTTTCTTTTGTCGCGACTTATTGCAAGATAATTCGTCTGTTGTACGACTAGTACACTGTGTTGTATTAGGTTGTCCGGAAAGTTCTTAGCGTTTTGTGCACCTATTTTTTGTACATTCACTGCTGATTAAAAACTCATTCTGCCTTGCTTCTCAGTAGCACATCCTGTAGAGAATTTCTTGCGCTATCTGATGGTATAATTGTCGTTTCACCATTGCCTGATAAACCCTCTTTTTCAAGATTTTTTCAGCACGTTGAAGACGCATGTTCGGACGATTTTTTTCTTCGACTATAAATTGGGGCAATCCGCAATCGAAACAGCTCAACAAATTAACCAGGTGTGGGGCCCAATAGTGCTAGAGAAAGCACTGTGCGGCAATGGCTCAACAAATTTCGTTCTGGAGATTTCAGCCTTGAAGGTGAACCTCATAGCGGTCGACCTAAAGCAATATCTGACGAGGATTTTAGGGGATTTTGGAGGCTGACCCATCCCAAACAGTTCGAGAGATTGCAGAAAAGCTAGGCGTTGGCAAATCCACTGTTGCGGATGGTCTGGAACGCATTGGGAAGGTGAAAAACTCGACAATTGGGTGCCCACAATCGGAGTGACCGGCAGGAATCGGCACGTCTCGAGGTTCCTTCTGCATTGCTTTTGCGCAGCAGAAACGACCTGTTTTTGACCGAATTGTCACCTGTGATGATGAAAATGGGTCATGTATGATAACAGGATGGTTGGGTTTCCGGACAGTGGTTGGATTTCGACGAACCACCGAGGTAATTTTCAAAGCCGAAACCCTCACGAAAAAAAAGATTCTGGTCACGGCTTGGTGGTCATCGGCTGGTGTGATCCACTATAACTTTTTATCACCGCCAAACCATCACAGCAGAACCCTACTGTGAAGAAATCGACGAATTGTACCGAAAATTTTGTCAGATGCAGCCAACACTTATCAAAAGAAAGGGTCCGATTCTTTTGCATGACAACGCCCGCCCACACGTTTCACAAATCACTATCCATAAATTGAACGAATTGGGCTTTTCAAACATTTTCAGAACTTCCTTGCTGGGAAATACTTCATCAAACAGGACCAGGCAAAAAAGCCTTCGTGGATTTCGTGAATTTTCGACTCGATTGAATCCGATGAGTATTAAAAAAGTTACGATCCGTTTGGTGAAACATCACAGACCACTATTTGTGAACAGGGCACGTCGCACGCTAAGGAATTCCTCGTTGAAGTCATATCTGGTAGCTGGAGGGAAGTGGGAGAAGGTCGCAATTGGTCTGACAAGGTTCTTTGAAAGTTGATTTATCCTGCCCGTCTCCTCCGCTATCGCTGAACAGCGAAACTGGACAATTTTTGGAAGACTATGAAAAAAGAGGGAAGCTGGTGAAATTCACCTAGTAAGATGGTAGGTATGGTAGGTAGGGGGCTAGAATGGTGCGCTAAGTGTAACGAGGCCTTTTCGGGGACCTATCGTGAGAGACATCGACTCCCATAGTTGAGGATGAGTAAATGATGATTCAACTCCTGGCTACATCTGAAAACTGAGCAACTTCTCCTCTCCGTATGCTTCCAACAACAAAAAGGCTGACAAAATAGACTTTATCAAATCAACTATCACAAAATAGACTTTGAATGCATTCTTGTAAAATGATATGTGATGAGATCCGCCAATGCTGATACGGGGTGGAACACGACTACTGCATTAACAAATATTTTTGAAAATCAGACTGCTAGCGTTTGCTGCCTAAAGTATGAGTTTGTAAAGCTGCTTTCAGAGTTACAAGGTCGTGAGAGCTTGCATTATGCGCCAATCAGAGGTGAGTCTTCTTGGACGGAAGCTTCGTTCTGGCACGACCCTGAAAGCTCGCCCTGAATACGCACAGCGCTAGAACAATAGAGAATCTTCTTACGACCTTCAGACTGTGAAAGTCGATTTGTGAGTGTGGTCAGTTTGTATCTACAGAGTCCGCAATACCTCGTCTAACACAAAACTACGGGCCATGACCAGCACTCATATGGCACGATACTCGTATGTAATGTCAAGAAAAAAAATGTACACTTGAGAGATGATGAAATCCCGAAAATACGAAGTAAAGCGGGGCTGACGCGTAACTAGCTCAGATGAAACCTTGCAAAACTAACATTCTATACAATTTTCTATCCCCTGACCGATGTCAACAAATAACTTCAAATATTTTGGTAAAGCAAAGAAAGAGTACAAATATTATATTATTGCGTTAAATCTCATGGAAACACACTGGGCAGGCAAGAATCGTAACCTGAGCTCAGCAGTTCCTCTGTATCACTTTGGAATAACGGTGTAGAAAGAAGTTCCTAAGGCTGTCGACAACGTATGGTTCAACCCGATCCGATGTATCTCAACTGTTTTGATTCTGCAATTCCGGAAGCCAGCAGCGAACAACCTAATCATTAGCATCTTCTTCCTCTCTTGCTTGCACGGTTCTCTGCGATCGCGGCTGAGATGGTCACCATTGTGGCCGAAAACTAGGCACATGTCCTCAACAAATGAGCTCCAGCTATTCGTCTCTTTCCGTGTCGAACATCGAACGTAACATCAGGAACGTGTGTAACTGTTCAGGCTTCACACTGGCATGTCGTTCCTCGAATATGGTCTTCGGTGCCAAAGCCGGCACAGACAGAATCCTTCGTGCTAAAGAAGCCAGCGATGGGAACTGAGCCTGGCCCACGGTGCTCCAAAACGATACCACGTCCCTGAAAGAAAAAAAAATTGGTAGAGAGAAGTCTACAAAAGAATCGCTTATGAATACTTCGTCTGTTGCGCTGGATACTGCGATCGGAGATAACATTCCAATTCGTCGTCGCCAATTGGATCGTCCTCGAGAGAATTCAGAAACAGGCGTCGCTTCCGGTGCGGTTCTCCCTCGATGGAGCTGTCACGGCTCAGTGGTTCGTGTTGAGTTCGAATGCCACAGAGAGCACGTATCCGTTCACAGGCGTGGGATCTGAACGTCAGATATTCAGAAAACACTCGTTAAAAATATTGTAAAGGGTTTGATCCTATCAGCGCTTCGGCGCTACATTAGAATGACTCAGGTGACACTGTTCAAGGAGGCATATATTCTAGTTCGCTGCTGATGAAGGGTCATGTCAGGCAGTATGAGTGGTGTCGAATCCGTTTTCTGCCAGTTGTTCAAACGGATGTGCGACAACTATTGGTAAAACGAGTGATACGAACGATATGATACAGTCTTGTCACTTGCTCGCTTCAACAACTGGTGGAAACGGGTTTGGCACCGCGCCAACTCATTCCACTTGACACGCCCCTTCGTTCGCAGCGAACCAGACTATACATATAACGCCAAATGAAGAATAGAAATATTGCTTACCGTTCATGATCTGTACAAATGAGATTGAGTTTCCTATTATGGCGTGGATTTAGAATCGCTGCGATTCGATGTTCGACTGTGATCGTCGACGCCTGTTCACGAACCAGCAGTTCACTGGCTTTCTGAAAACAAGAATCAAATTGAGCGGAGCGAAGGCTAGAAGAGAACGAGAATAAACACCTGCTCACCAGTTTAAGTTCACGAAGCAACGGCGACGTCTCATCGGAAGAGGGATGGCATTCGTGCATTAGCGCATACCATTCTGGTAAATACCTAAGCACAACTCTTATTGATCCTGATCACATTGTTTAGACGATGATTTGCATACCTTGTGGAAATTCGGCTGCTCTTGAGCAAGAGACTCAAATGTTTCCTGGAAAGGTCCCAGAAACTCTTCCAACTCTCGCAAATGCTCCACGTTCAGGCTAGTGAATGACATTTGCAAGCCTGGAATAATGATGCGAACAATTTTAAGAGAATTATTCAGTAATAAAAAAAGATGTAATCATCAATATTATGCGAACCAGCTCCAAAAGTTGCTATAGAATCACCTTGGAATTTGGACTGGATGATATCTTTGATGTTGTGGAAGTGAAAGTTGAAGTCTCGAAGAAGTGGGTAAAAGCTAAAGATGTCATCGCCGCTGCATTGAGACGAAAACTGTAGCCGAACGTCCGACTCAATAAACGTTTTCACAATTTGTTCGACCAAGGCAATCGAAGGGAGTAACGGGACCGAACAGGACGACAAAACGGCGTGAAGGACCTGTATTAGAAAATTCTTCAAGAAAGTTTCAAGAATATTTCAGCGTATTCGAAGCACCAGGATGCTGTAAATGAAAAGAGAAGTGTGTACATGCAATACACAGTATATAATACTATAGAAGAGACCAAAAAAATGAATAATGGAAGTGGGCTGAAAGCATCGAAAAGTTTCCCCACCTCTCGCAATTTTTCCTTGATGTCTGGAAAGCACTTAGCTGGTGTGAATTCTTCACCACCACCGGCACAGGTGATCCTCAATAGATTTTTGTCGAGATCGTAATTGGTGACGACCGTGTTGATAATCTCAGCCATCGTCTGGTTTTCATGCACTTTGAACACTCTGTAATGGTCATATTTTTTAGATGGCATATTGCGCGTTAGCAGCGAGTACTACGGGTTCGAACCATGAGAAACCCCGAGCACCCGGCCGCACCCTATTGCGGGAAATCCCAGGGCCGGGGCGCAACGGTCGCCCATGAACCGGAAATGAGGGATCGGCATTTTTCTCGGAAATTTTGGCTCGTGTCTACCATCATCCCCATCACTTGGCACAACTATTCGGCTTTGAAAAACTCTTCCAAAGTTCATTCCACGTGCTCGACATCGCAAGATTTCTTTACGTACAAACACGTGACCAAGTTGGCTATGCGTGCTAAAGCCTCAACACGTTGCCAAAGCCCTTCACCGCTAATTGTCTTGTTATGATAACTGCTGTTTAACGCCGCAGTACGCGTTCCGAATGTTATCACAAGAATGCTGAGTTGTGGGCAAAAGTCGTGCCCCAGGCGGGAGTCGAAGTGAGTTTGAAGTTGAGGTGCGGGTTCGACTCCCGCCTGGGGCACGACTTTTGCCCACAACTCAGCATTCTTGTGATAACATTCGGAACGCGTACTGCGGCGTAAACAGCAGTTATCATAACAAAACAGCTTCAAAAACTTGTAAAGCCTTCGGCCTTGCGGTTCCATGCCGATATCTAACGATTACGGCTGACCGGCTCACCAAGTTAAACGTGTGAGTGCTGTAAGGCTACGGCATAAGCCGTTAAGCTGAGAGGGTAAAAGCGGCCCTGGTGGCGTAACGGATAGCGCACTCGCCCGGAAAGCGTGAGGTGCGGGTTCGACTCCCGCCTGGGGCACGACTTTTGCCCACAACTCAGCATTCTTGTGATAGCTAATGATTGTATTCCTCTTTTGATAGCACGAACCATTTTCGACCATTGAACTATCGAAAGCAGTGTGTCTACATGCTGTACATTCAGATCACAGATGAATAAATCCCATGCTAAGTGAACTTTGAGCGAAAGTAGGGTAGTTGGGCGCGTCGCACGCAGCGAAATCCCGGTTGCATTTCATTTGGATGCCAGAGGGAAATAGAGGTAGTTTAGTTCAGGTGACCCACTTAGATATTCCACCTTCTTCAGGTACTCAACGCCCTTCCATTCCTAGGCGAGAGTTTTCCAACGCCCTTCGATTCCATGTGGTGGCACCCAATCCTGTAGCAGTACAAAGTTTCCAAGATGGTACGGGCGACGACATGAAGGGAGGATATTCTCTCGAGTTGCTTGATGTAAGCGCTCACTTTCAGTCCGGGGTCCACGAAGAAAATATCGGTCTTCCCATTCCAGGTACTTCCGGTCCATACCATCAACCCGCGCCTTGGCGACTGCGGTGAAGATGATATCCTGGACCGTAGCGACGTTGTCGGAGCTGCTCGATGTTGGAGGTCTTCCAGATCAAGAGTGCTGGTCTCCAGGTAGCTGTCCATGGGTGACTCCATACAAGAAGTTTCGCAGCTGTTTGGAGGTGACATGAATTCCATAGGCCTTCTCCAGTCCGGCTGCGATTGGAGATGACTTCATATTTTGGTGTACATGAAGGTGATGGGGCGAGAGCCTGCTTCTGCTTATCGCGGAACATCGGTATCTTCCGCCCTGGTACTCGTTCACGTCTTCTGTCTGGGCTGCGAAAACTTTACTGATATGTGACTCGGCCAAAGTGTCTTTTTTTGCCCCCTCCCCTGTACATCATTGGGAGATTCTCACACGCGCGTTGGGGCGGGAGGGAGGAAGGGCGGAGGGGAAATTGCATTTGCTCCTCATTTTGAAGTAGGTCGCGTCTCAGGCCCTGAGAAAATTTTTCCAGCCGTGCATTTTTTTGCGGTTTTCCCCGTTTCTCATTGCTGCCCCCCCCTTCCACAAGTTCTTGAGGGTTGAATTTTCCGCGAAAACTGGGAAAGGTGGTAGGAAGTTGGAAAAGTCAGCAAAGTCTGGAAGTGGGAGGAAGGGAATGGTTATAAAAGCGCAAATCTGAAAGGGAGGGTGTATTCCGCAAAAAGTTGCACCACCAGGATTTTGCGCGCGCTCAGTGTTGTGGCAAGAGGTGTTACTGTCCACATAGACCGTGAAGCAAGCTCCTTAGCCAATTCCGACTTTTGACAGCCACTGCATTTTTGCGCGACAAATGCTGCTCAAGTTGTACTGTATACCGACGGTACGTACAGGAGGAGCCCAATAAAAAAAGACACTTCGATCGAGTCACATATCAGCAAAGTTTTCGCAGCCCAGACAGAGGACGTGGATACGAGTACCAGGGCGGAAGATACCCAAGATGTTCCTCTATAAGCAGGAGATACTTCATATTTTCCTCTATAAGCAGGAGCTGGCGCTCGCCCATCACCTTCATGTACACCAAAATATGAAGTCATCTCCAGTCGCAACCTGACTGGAGAAGACCTTCGGAATTCATGTCACCTCCAAACAGCTGCGAAACTTCTAGTGTGGAGTCACCCATGGATAGCTACCTGGAGACCAGTACTCTCAATCTGGAAGACCTCCAACATCGAGCAGCTCCGACAACGTCGCTACGGTCTAGGACATCATCTTCACCTCAGTCGCCAAGGCGCCAGTTGATGGTGGGGACCGGACGTGGCGGTTACATCAAGCAACTCGAGAAGAATATCCTCCCCACATG